CTAATATTTTATTCATATTTTCTTATTAGCTTAGATGGAAAATATTAAATACAGTTCCTGGAGTTTTCTCTTTTGTACCTAGGTAACAAATGTTATTAACTGATTATCAGATCATTGTGATCCTTCTTCCTTCTTTGGGTATGAGGTGGAATAGGAGAAGAGAGAAGACTATTAGTCTGTAAATATGAGTTACAAGTTCTTGACCAAGCATTCTTGCTATGGGTCCTACCCTGAGAGAATGGTTTAATGGATATGGGGTATCCATAAAAACCCATGGAACCTGGGTTTTTAAAAGCACCCCAAGTGATGTGTAGCTGAGGTTTGAGAGTACTGTTTTAGCAATAAGAAAGAAAGATCAATTATATGCATATATATGTGTATTTTATATATATATGTGTATATATATAAGTCCTTCTTTAACAAAAATAAAATACTTCAGAGAAAGTTGAAGACTCTTTGATGACTCTCCCCAACCAAATGGTAAAAGGCAGGTGAACAGGAGGATAGTACAAGGTATAATCCTAAAATATGAAATAAAAACATAAAAAATAAAAATAATGAGCCATGAGGTACTGAGCTATCTAGCTCAGTATCAATTTTTATTTCTTTGTGCAATGCAACACTTGATGAGGGATGAGTCAGAAGAATGACTGAAAAGTTGAAAAAATAAAGCCAGTTAGAGCATAAAAGACCACGAATAGCCAAGGCAATACTGAGTAAAAAGAGCAACGCTGGAGGTATCACAATACCCGACTTCAAACTATACTACAGAGCCATAGGAATAAAAACAGCATGGTACTGGCACAAAAACAGACACGAAGAGTGGAACAGAATAAAGGACCCAGATATGAATCCACACAACTATGCTCACCTACGCTTCAACAAAGGTGCCAAAAACATATGATGGAGAAAACATAGCCTCTAAAACAAATGTTGCTGGAAAAAGTGGTTATCTGCCTGCAGAAAACTGAAACTAGATCCATGCCTATCATCCTGTACTAGTAATCATCTAGTCTTAGGACTCTTTAATATCAGAACTGAAACCTTAAAGCTAGTACAGGAAGAGGCAGGGAGACACGGAAGGCAATAAGTCATAGCAAGAACCTTCCTCAGCAGAACCTCAAAGTGGTCAGCAACTAAGAGAAAGGCGAATTGGACAAATGGACTACATGAAATTAAACAGTTCTACACAACAAAAGAATGATGGTCTCATAAACTGAAGAGGCGCACCCCACCACGAATGGGAGGCAAATCTTTGCTCACGCTATACATCAGTAAAAGGGACTGATGACCAGAATTTACAGGGAGCTGAAAAAATAAACTCCCCCCAATTCATGACCAATAAAGAAATGGACAACTGAACTAAATAGAACTTTTTCAAAGGAAGAAGTCCAAATGGCTAAAAAACACATGAAAAATTGCTCGCATCTGTGTCAAAGAGGAAATGCCAAATCAAAACCACACTTAAGATTCCACCTCACTCCTGCTACAATAGCTACCATCAAGAACACACCAACAACAAAATGTTGCGAAGGATATGGGGAAAAAATAACCCTATACACTGCTTGGTGGGATGTAAGCTAGTACAACCCTATAGAAAACAATATGGAGGGTTTCTTAAAAAATTAAAAATAGATCTGCCATGTGATCCGAGCAATTGACCACTCTTAGGGATATACCCGGAAGAAATGACGACTCACGTTAGCTACACAAGGTACCTCACAACCATGTTTATTGCAGGCACTTTCACAAGCCAAGTTATGGAAACAGCCAAGATGCCTCATTAAGCGACCAACGTTGGTATTTATACACGAATGGAATTATTACTCAGCCACAAAGAGAATGACATTTTGGTATTCACAAGTACATGGATGCGAAACTGAGAGAACACTGTCATCTTAAGAGAAGGTTAGTCAGGTCAGACAGGCCAAAAAATTGCATGTTGTCCCTTATATACAGATTATAATCTAAAACAAATGCAGGTAATATTGGACACAGGATCACACATAAAGGAGACTGAGCCTTGGGAGGAACAGGGCAAGGAAGGAAACCAAAAAACTTGAATGTGGTGAGGTTGCTCACTGTATAGAACGAATATAGTAATTCTTACACTGGCACGAGGCACTATGAGGGGAACTAGGAAGTAGTGAAGAGGTCTGGTAGAGATGAACCAATTTGGGTTGTAATACACATGTGCATGGAAACAACACAAGGAATATCTCTGTATAGTTATCTTTATCTCAAACTAGCAAAAACGCCATGTTTTTCATATTTTTTATGTTTTTTCTTTTCCAAAGTTGGAGAATAAGGACAGAATAGGTTCTGCACGGAGGCGCAGGGGAGGAGTGGGGAGGTGGCCCAAATAATGTATACACATGTAAAAAAAAATATATATATATATTTTAAAAATATACATTTAAGTAAAGACAGAACAGATTAACAAAGTGGGATTCTTTGATTAGACGAAGAATCAAATAAAGCCAAAAATATTTAGAAAGCACTGTAGGGAATGTGCACATAAAATATTCTGTTCTCCATTTCATCCAACTTCTACACAATATACATTCTTCTCAGCAGCCCATGGAACCTTCTCCAAAATAGATCATATCCTAGGGCACAAAGCAAGCCTCAGCAAATATAAGAAAATAGAAATTATACCATGCATACTATCTGATCACAATGCAGTAAAACTAGAACTCAACAACAAAAGTAAAGACAAAAAACATGCAAACAGCTGGAAATAAATAACTCATTACTTAATGAACAATGGATCATTGATGAAATAAAAGAGGAAATTAAAAGGTTCCTGGAAGTCAATGAAAATGAAAACACAACCTACCGGAACCTATGGGACACAGCAAAGGCAGTCCTGAGAGGAAAGTTTATAGCCACAAGTGCATATATTAAAAAGACTGAAAGATCCCAAATCAATGACCTAATGATACATCTCAAACTCCTAGAAAAACAAGAACAAGCAAATCCCAAAACAAATAGAAGGAAAGAAATAATAAAAATAAGAGCTGAAATCAACGAAACAGAAACCAAAAAAACCATACAAAGAATTAATGAAACAAAAAGTTGGTTCTTTGAAAAAATAAACAAGATCAACAGATCCCTGGCAAACGTGACTAAAATGAGGAGAGAAAAAACCCAAATTAGTAGAATCAGGAATGCAAAAAGGGAGATAACAACAAACACCATGGAAGTCCAGGAAATCATCAGAGACTACTTTGAGAACCCATATTCAAATAAATTGAAAATCTTAAAGAAATGGACAGATTTCTAGATACATATGATCATCCAAAACTGAACCAAGAGGAAATTAATCACCTGAATAGATCTATAACAAAACGAAATTGAAGCAGCAATCAAGAGTCTCCCCAAAAAGAAAAGTCCAGGACCTGATGGATTCTCTGCTGAATTCTATCAGACCTTTAAAGAAGAATTAATACCAACCCTCCTTAAACTGTTCCACGAAATAGAAAGGGAAGGAAAACTGCCACGCCACGCACATTTTATGAAGCCAGTATTACACTTATCCCAAAACCAGGCAAAGACACCTCCAAAAAGGAGAACTATAGGCCAATCTCCTTAATGAACATTGATGCAAAAATCCTCAACAAAATAATGGCAAACCAAATTCAACAACACATCAAAAAGATTATTCACCACGACCAAGTAGGCTTCATCCCAGGGATGCAGGAGTGGTTCAACATACGAAAATCAATAAACATAATAAACCCCATTAACAGAAGCAAAGACAAAAACCACTTGATCATCTCAATAGATGCAGAAAAAGCCTTTGATAAGATCCAACACCATTTCATGATAAAAGCTCTAAGAAAACTAGGAATAGAAGGAAAGTACCTCAACATTATAAAAGCTATATATGACAAACCTACAGCCAGCATTATACTTAATGGAGAAAAACTGAAACCATTCCCTCTAAAATCAGGAACTAGACAAGGATGCCCACTATCTCCACTCCTATTCAACATAGTACTGGAATTCCTAGCCAGAGCAATTAGGCAAGAAGAAGGAATAAAAGGAATACAAATAGGTAAAGAAACTGTCAAAATATCCCTATTTGCAGATGACATGATCCTATACCTTAAAGACCCAAAAACTCTACTCAGAAGCTCCTAGACACCATCAATAGCTACAGCAAGGTAGCAGGATATAAAATCAACATAGAAAAATCATTAGCATTTCTATACACTAATAATTAACAAACTGAAAAAGAATGTATGAAAACAATTCCATTTACAATAGCCTCAAAAAAAAAATCAAATACCTAGGTGTAAACCTAACAAAAGATGTGAATGACCTCTACAAGGAAAACTATAAACTTCTGAAGAGATTAAGGAAGACTACAGAAAGTAGAGAGATCTCCCATGCTCATGGATTGGTAGAATCAACATAGTAAAAATATCTATACTCCCAAAAGTAATCTACATGTTTAATGCAACTCCCATCAAAATTCCAATGACATTCATTAAAGAGATTGAAAAATCTACCGTTAAATTTATAAAATGGAATTGAGATTATTATAAGGGTTAAGTGACATATCTAAAGTGGTTAGTGTATAGCAACTTGTTAACAAATGGTGACTACTGTTTTATTTTAGACTTGATGCAAATTACTAATAATAATTGGAATGATAATAGCTTACAAATAATTCTAAAAGATTTCTCACTCTGCATATTTGGAATCACTTGATATATTATGAATTATAAGAACAGGGTTAGCAGAACACAAACTGTGTAAAACACAGTCCTTCCTCACCACCTTTCTGGGAGGAGGCTTTTTTTGTTCTGTAGCTGTGGAAATGTTCTCTCCCAAAATAAATGAAATCAGCTAACAGTTGAAAAGTGTGAATCACAGTCAAAAATCTCAAATTATTCACCTAGATAGAAAATAAAACAATCCATTTTTAATAAACTTACTGGGTAAAAAAATATTTTACTTTATCTGAAACACACATTTTGAAATATACTTACATCATAATAAACACCTTGACCTGGCCAAGTCAATGCCTTCTTCTTTGAATCCATGGGAAAGTCAAGCAGTTCATATCTGTAAGGGTTACCTGAAAATATCAGGAAAAGCACTGTTATCCTGAATAAATAAGAACTTTTAGCTAGTGGATTTTATGGATACAATAAAAAGAAACAAAATAATTTAAGTAGAGTCAAATGTTGGTGTATATTCTATCAGTACCATGATGGCAAATTTAAGCAAATTCTACCACTGAGCCCTACACAGAGCCCCTAGTCACTGCTTTTTTTTTTTCTTTCAAAATTGGCCTTTGAACTCAGGGCCTCACACTTGCTAGGCAGGTGCTCTATTACTTGAGCTGCACTCTCAGCCCACAGCTTTTAAGATGCAGCCTGCTTCTGAGTCCTTTGAGCCCTTAAGTGAGCAGCATGTAGGCTGCAGAGAATGAAAGTGAGTTTCTAATGCTAGTGTTCTCAGAGTAACAGGGAACACTAGTGCTTAAGGAGAGAGATCCGTAGATACATAGTAAATCTTTCTGGACCTTCTTTCTGCTCTCTGGAGGCTCAGCAACACATTTTTTTACTATCTGTTTTGGCTCTTCTCTGCCTAAATATCAAGAATTTTCAAAGATGAAGTTAGTACCTATTTGCCAAAAAGGTACTGAACAAGCGAGCATTTAAACAATATGACTTTTTGTACATAATTTGATAAGCTTTACCAAGTATGGCATGGCTTACTCTGGTCTAGTTTCAAGTTAAAGAATGCTTTGAACACCCATTTTCATATATAACAACAAAGGGTGGCATTTACTGAACATTTACTGTGTGCCAGTGATTGTCCTGAGTGTTGTATACACCATTACATGTACTTTCAAATCATAACTATGAGAAAGGTACAGTTCCCATTTGAGTGAATGAAGAAACTGAGGCAGAGATAAGCAATTTGTTCAAGGTCACACAGCTACACACAGCTAGTAGGTAGAATTCAAACTCAGGCACTCTGGTTCTAGAGGCTACACTCTTAACCTACATGCTACATTTGTAATAAAAAAAGTTAAAAGAAGTGGAAGAGTAGAAACCTAATGCAGACTAGTTCCTGGAAAGATCTTTTTTATAAAGATTGCTAAAGCGTACTCACTTTTTAAAATTCCCTAAGAGTCACTGGTCAGTGAGAAGTAGTTGCTGACAAGAGCAACTTGCCTCTTCACTCCTTTGTCTACAACTTACACTGATAGGTGCTTTATGAATTTAACACGTTTCTGTGATTTACTGCAAGCTATGCACTAAGTATAATTAAAGAAATTATCTAATTCAGGGTTGAAAATAAGGAATTTACTTGGATAATTTCCCCAACAAGAACATAAAAATCTCAGTTGTTTAGATATCACATCTTGGAGGTTTTTTGCATAGTATACCCTCAGTTTGCTCCCCCTACTATTACTAGGCACAGCACTTGACACCAAATAGTCACCGTATTTGACACAGCTTACACTGCTTTTTATCAGTGCTGTCAGGCCCGAGGTAATGGAAAAGTTCAACATGGTGCATACACACTGGAGTCAGTATATGATAGCAGAGTAATAAAGATAGTAACAGCTAACATTTACTTCTGTTTTCTAGGAAGTACTAATATTCCCATTTTACAGACTGAGAAGCAGAGGCAGAGAAGAAAATTACCCATGACAGTAATTTTCATGTGCAAGTGAAGAGCCAGAATTCTACACATGCACCCTGACTCCAGAGTCCCTGCTTTTAAGCCCTCTGCCACACACTCTCTCCAAACTGTCTGCTAACAGGGTGCGGAGGCCTATACTTCTGATGGCAGTATTCTGTCCTTGCATTTTGATCCAAATGCATATAAAGGAACTGCTTACAAGACAATTCTTGAGTCTGCCAGCTTAAATTCATTGAGAAAATATTTACCTTTGACTACCATGTGCCTTTACTGTCACCTTCAGTTACCCTTTCTCTGTATGAAATCTTTCTCCAGAGGTCACTCCTGTTTTCACTGATGTGCAGGTCTCCTCAGCAAAGACTGAAGCGTCTAGCATGCGTGAGACTCAATGCTACTGCCCTCTCTAGTGAAACACCTCTGATGAAGATAGTCCAGTGTGTGTCAAGAGATCCTGAATAAACTATTTCTATTACTTTTTTTATTTTGGTGATACTGGGGTTTGAACTCAGGCCTTATACTTGCTAGGCAGGCATTCTATCACTTGAGCCTCTCCCCCAGCCCTGTTGTGGTAGCTATTTTGAGATAGAGTCTTGTGAACTGTTTGCCCAGGGCTGGCTTCGAACTGCAATCCTCCTGATCTTTGCCTCCTGAGTAGCTAGGGTTACAAGGTGTGAGCCACTGGCCCTGGCTGTTCCTGTTATTTTGTGAGTCTTATTTCAGTAGTGAGCTTTTAATTTAACCACTACTGCTGCCCATGTTCAGACTTTGATGACTGGACCAATCATGACCCCTTGTGCTCACTGCCTTAGGATGAGATTTTTTTTTTTTTTTTGGTGGGACTGGAGTTTGAACTCAGGCCTCATGCTTTCTAGGCAGGTGCTCTTATCACTTGAGCCACACATCCAGCGTCCAGCCCCCACATCAGTGTTTTGAGTCCTTTGCACTCTTTGCTTTTTAAATTTTATTACTGAATAAACTCCAATAAGTGGACTTGATTTCAAGTCACATTTTACCTCTTGTCTTCAAAACCATTGTGTCGTAGGCTTTGGTTGGCACTGTGGGAGGAAAAGGCTGTTGGGTGCAGGCTTTAGTGCCTGTGTAGAGGTCCTTAGGCGATGTGAAGGTTGGGAACAGGGCACAGCGACACGTGTGTGTATGGTACGGGTGTTCAATTGGATATGGTAAGCAGATTTCTCTAAGATTTATTGAGCAAATAAAACAAAAACACAGAAAAGAAAGAAGTACAATGAAAAAAATTAATCACTGAATATTTATTGGGACCTTTTGTTGTGGCTGATACTGTTCTAATTCTTGGGGATATCACAGTGACCCAAAGTTTTCATACTCATGGAATTAGTATTCTGTGAAATATCTACCATAAAATATATGAGCTTCTCTTAACTTTGCTACTTTTAATCAAAACTAAATTTATTTTTAAGTCATTACTAATTCTTTATCAGTGAAAAACTTTCATAACTGGATAATATAAAGTAGCTGATATAGGTATTTTATAGTTTTTTAGAAAGTCCAGGAAAAATTTCTAGGTTTTTAAATCCCTGCTTCTTGCTTTACGAGGATATAGGTAAGGGCTGGGAGAGAGGCTCAAGCAGTAGAGTACCTGCCTAGCAAGTATGAGCCCTGAGTTCACACCCCAGTACCACCAAAAAAAAAAAAAAAAGAAAAACAGTGATGCTTTGTTTTATGGAATTGTTTTGGGCATTTAACTCAGTAATGAAACTATCTTGTATGGAACTTTCAACCCATCCTGTTTCTTTGAGCAACTGATCAACAACATATACTGCCTGCTTATGTACACAAGACTGTTTTGAAATAAATAAGCCAAAAATAGCTAGACCACAGAAGAAAAAAAAATTTAAAAGCCAGAGGGGTATAATTTTAATTTTCTTATCATTGGAGAACTGGAAGAGGTTAAGGGAGAAAAAAACCAAACAAACATGTGGGAACTATGTAAACTAGAAGAAAATCAAGATTAGGAGATTCACAGAATAGAGAAATATTATTTATAATTAGAAAACTAAGAAGAAAAAACAAGACCAGTGTTATGGGTTGAATTGTGTCTCTCTCAAAAATCCATGTGTTGAAGTCCTAATCTCAAGGCTGTATATTGTAACCTAATTTGGAAATAGAGTCACATAATTAGTTAAGAGAAGTACTAAAGTAGGCCCTTCACTCAGTAAGATGGTGTCCTTATAAAAACGAAAACTTGGACAAAGGGGAGTATGCACCGAAAACACCACGTGAACATCTCTAAGCTGTGGGATGCCAAAGATTGCCAGAAAACCACCAGAAGTCAGGAGTGAGATACAAAATAGATTTTCTCTTACAGCCCCTAGAAGGAATTAACCTGCTGACACCTGATTTTGGACTTCCAGTCTCCCACTTTGAACCTTATCAGACTGTAACAGAAAGATGTACCTAAGAAATGTCCTGCAGAAAAAGGAATTTTCTTTTCATACTCCTCATGAAGACAATTTGAAAAGTCCAAAAGAGTTTTTCACACAGTTGTTTTAAAAAAAACAAAGCTCCAAAACTTAGGCCTTGATTTTGAAAGTCTTTTTAGGAGCTCTTTGCTTTAACTGAAACACAAATATGTCAGTTTAACATTTTCAGTTAAGACTGACAGGGGACTTCAGCCCCAAGAGCACCTAATACTTAGATCTGGTTTCTTACATTAGCTTCCAATAACATAAACCAAGGTTTCTTGGAGTTATGGCTAACTGTAGGAGTGGGGTAGGAGATTTACAAGATGATCCAGAAGTATGTTACAGTTTCTATAAATATAGAAAGTAAGGAAATGCTAAAAGAAAAGCAAGAACCCTCTCAAATCCAGAAGTGATGGGTGAAATGTCAATATCCACAGAAACAAATTCAGAGAGCATCTTATAGCCAATTTAAATAACAAAATAAAGTGGACTGGATTACTTCCTAAATACAAAAAAAACCCCAAAATAAATACCTATGAGTTCATACCGAAAATAAGTGATCCAATAAACAAATGGAATAGAATGATAAATCTCCCATACCGAAGAATGCCAAATAATTTAAGTAGATATTCTACTCTTGGGAGGCAGAACATAATTCCAGATGTCTTCTGTGCACAGTGACTTTCTTCTTAAAGAGTACAGTGTGGAAAGGAGGGGCAAAAAGAGTACAGGAAGGAACAAACACTCCCTAAGTTAAGCAATCAAGATCAACACCAACAGTGCTAAATCATGTTGGGAGAATGTACCCTTGATATAGTGTCATGAAAATGGCTCTTCACCTCTGCGAGCTTCCATCCTAAAATATATTACCTTGGTCTAAGCATTAAAAAAGGGCATTCTACAAAATATTTAACCTAAAATCATCAAAACTGTCAAGGTCACTAAAACACTGAAAGCCTAAGAAACTGTCATAGCCACGGAGACATGCCAACTAAATGTAATTGGGATCCTGGAAAGAAAAAGGACAGGAAGTAAAAGCTGGGGAAATCTGAGTAAAACGTGGACACCAGTTCATTGTCATGCATCAGTCGTTGTTCATCAACTGCGACCAATGTGCTACATTAATGTAAAATGTGAATAGCAGGGGGAGCTGGGTGTGGGGCAGATCAGAAAGCTCTGTCCAGACTTCCCAATAATCCTGTAACCTAAAGTACACTAAAACAAACATTTTATTAAAAAAGATTGGAAGTCGATATAACTAGAAAGAAATCAAAATAATGTTGCCTTAGACTTGCACCAGCATCTCCTTTCACTTGTTAAAATAGAGCGTTCATGAAAAGCCTCACTTATCCTCACATCCATCTATGTCATAAGGAATGCCATTTTTTTTTCTTTAATGGGGAGGAAAATACGAGTTATATACTTACTCTACTGTTGAATTAGGTGATTTGGGCAGCCTAAAATAAAAACAGGAAACAAATCTTAATTTAAGTTAAAGGCTTTTAAAGGTTTGTATTCCTATTAGAAATCTGCTTAAGAACAAAGGTATACCTCATCTTCAAACTATACTGTCATTAATATAATTTTTTTTAACTTTCTTGAACTGTGAATATTGACAAGGCCGAGAAATAAGATATTTTCATACTTTAGTTGTGTTTTGATCAACTTTTTCCATTCCATTTATTCTGACTCAAGTCCCTGTCACCACCCCTTTTGTATTTTTTATTTTCTTACTGACCTTCACTCTCATAATCAGGCAGTAGCCAAAGAGCCCTGAGGGAGCCCAGCATTTGCATGTAATGCCATTATGTGACCTAAAGTGACCTGTGTGGCCTGGCTGGACAGGATATATAAATACCGGGTGTGCTCTGTCCCTTTGCCCAGGATTGCTGATCCCTCATGATAGTAATGTTGCCCAGTAAACAGACAGAACCAAACTAAAACTGACCAAGTTCCTGCAGGCTTGCCTTTTCTGAACTAGCTCATTCCCAGCTTGTGTATTTGCTAATTACTCTGAATCCTGCATACAAAGAAAAAATACTATAGCCCTGGGGAAAAAACTTCAGTAGAGAGGGACAGTTATCCACTTACATTTGACTTCAGCACTTAGTTTCAGCTTATGCAAAGAAGACTCTCAAAGAGCTCAGACTTGCATAATAATCAGAATGCTATCAGTTCCATAGTAAAAAAAAAAAGTAAATCTGAACTTAATAAATCTGAACTAGAGGATAGTCACTATAAAGTAGTATGTAAATCATATAATCTTATTATTCTACAATGTATTATAAATGCACAATTTGCATGAACCATAAAAGTTTATATTTTTATTTGGACTCTAAATTTGTGGGTATATAACAAAAATTTTTTTCTGTTATCTGGCTACGTGGTTAGGTTGGAGGGACAGGGGAGTTGATGAATATCCAAGGAATTATACCATATACAAAACACTAATATGGCACCAAAAACTGTTCTTACAGGACAAATTTTGCTATGACATTGATAAATATGGCTAAAATTGATTTGACACAAAATGAAAAAAAGAAATTTTTTAAAAAATAAAAAGACATCTTTGAAATTTAGAAAGATAAAGTGAAAGTGACAAATGTTCAAAGGCCCTACTTCCTTGACTCAAATCACTTCATTAATCCTGCCATGCTCTACATCTACTTTGCAAAGTTCACTAACCCAAAAGGATAAAGCCCAGGCAAACACAAACTTGTTTTGGCTCCCTCTAGTGGCTAAATCCTACACTGCATCAACTTTAAAAAATTTATTTATAAAATTATGTATTTTTGGTGTGGCTGGGGTTTGAACTCAGGGTTTTGTGCTTGCAAAGCAGGCACTCTATCACTTGAGCCACACCTCCAGTCCATTTTGCTCTGATTATTTTGGAGGGGGGTGGGTCTTGTGAACTATTTGCCTGGGCTAGTCTGGACCCCGAGATCCTCCTGATCATAGCCTCCCATGTAGCTAGGATTACAGGTGCTAGCCACTAGCACCCAGCCTGCATTAACTTAGCCTACAAAGAAAACAAATCTTAATAAAGGTAAAGAAGTGATATTTTTCATCGGTACTTCAGTGCTGTGTTTTATGGAAAACGATTTCAGAGTAAAAAATTTTAACAATCTGGAAAATACCTTTAAGTAAAGGTAAATTAACACATACTACTTATCCCCTCCCCCCAAAAAAAAGATCTAGAGAGAAATTTTATTGAGTTATTTATAGATTATCATAACAAACCTCCTCTCATAAAATTCCCATTAAAGTTTGTTGATGGTCACTGTGGCATTTTCTATGAATTGTTTAGGAAGTGCAGCAGATTCTTATTAGATTGAGCAGGTGGAAGGTAGGCAGATGTGTCACAATGAGGTACAGGAATGCCTCTGAACATTATGCCTTATATTTTGTTGACTTGCTTAAATGTTACAAACAATTGGTTAATTTGCTTCTTTGTGTTTATTCTTCGTTTCTAGTATTAATGGTCTTAAGTAAGACAGAAGAATTTGTTTCTCTACAAGTTCCCATTTGGGTTTTTCAAATTTTTCTTATATAACTCATTTCCACTTAATATAGTATTTGATTTGATAAAAGGGAGGGGGGAACCCAGACTTACAAAGAATCATTTTCATAGACATCACTTTTTTTGTTCTGTGTCAAATAATAGAATTGTTCAATAGGAAGCTTTCTGAAAAGACAGAAAAGATTAAATTGAACACAATGGAATTTTATGCAGCCACGAAGAAGAACGAAATGTTATCATTCGCTGGTAAATGGATGGAATTGGAGAACATCATTCTGAGTGAGGTTAGCCTGGCTCAAAAAACCAAAAATCGTATGTTCTCCCTCATATGTGGACATTAGATCAAGGGCAAACACAACAAGGGGATTGGACTATGAGCACATGATAAAAGCGGGAGCACACAAGGGAGGGGTGAGGATAGGTAAGACACCTAAAAAACTAGCTAGCATTTGTTGCCCTTAACGCAGAGAAACTAAAGCAGATACCTTAAAGCAACTGAGGCCAATAGGAAAAGGGGAACAGGTACTAGAGAAAAGGTTAGATCAAAAAGAATTAACCTAGAAGGTAACACCCACGCACAGGAAATCAATGTGAGTCAATGCCCTGTATAGCTATCCTTATCTGAACTAGCAAAACCCCTTGTTCCTTCCTATTATTGCTTATACTCTCTCTACAACAAAATTAGAGATAAGGGCAAAATAGTTTCTGCTGGGTATTGGGGGGGAGGGGAGGGGGTGGAGTGGGTGGTAAGGGAGGGGGGGGCAGGGGGGAGAAATGAACCAAGCCTTGTATGCACATATGAATAATAAAAGAGAAATGAAAAAAAAAAAACTCAGAAAAGATTGAAAAAAAAAAAAAGATTAAATTGAGCATCTTTTAAAATTACCACAGAATGGTGGGGAGTCAGTAAAAGACAAATAGATTAATATAGCCACAAATATAGACATTCAGTATATGAAAAGGTGTCATTTTAAATTTGTTGAAAAGTCTGTATTTTTTAATAAGCTGTATAGGAAAAATTCACTATCTATTTGGAAAATACTATATCTTTACCTCACAGTTCAAAATGATAATTTCACACAGATTAAAAATCTAAAGAAGGGCTGTAGGCCTGGCTCAAGTGGTTTAGCATGTGTCTAGCAAGGGCAAGGCTGAGTGCAAACCCCAGTACCCCCCAAAAAAGGTAAAAATCTAAAGAGTTGTAAAGAATTGGGGACAAATCTGTACAAATATTAAAATAAATTGTATAGGAATATGGTTTTTTTTCTTTCTGGTGGGGAAGGTCTTTTAAGTAAGATTTTTCTTTTAAAAGTCAAAAGCCAAAAGAAAATTTGATAAGACAAAGGACACCATAAAAAGCTCAAATAAAATAAAAGTTGGAAGAAATACAGGTAACACATAAAGGATTGATATCCCAAACAGAAAGAACCATCAAGAATCTATAAATACAAAAAAATCTATGAATAAAACTATAAAATGGGCAAAGAGTAAAAATAGAAAAGGAAATGCAAATGGCCCCATACGCAAAATATAAGAAAAAGTATTCAACTAGTAACCAGAGAAATGCATTCTCAGAACCATGATACTCATTAGATAGACAAAAATTATATAGTTTGAAAATATAACACAAATGCCTAAGAACATGAAGAAATGGGCACTTTTAGATACAGTCATAAAAATACAAATAGTTGGGCTGTACCTACTGAATTAAAAATATTCATATATTACAACCTAGAGCTTCCACTCAGGATTTGCTCTAGAGAAATATTTGTGCAAGAGCTTAAGAGGCACTATACAAGGAAGTTCATTATAGTACAGTTAATGTAAAATAAACAAGCAAACAAATAAATAAATGGAACCGTATGTGAGTAGTGAAATAGTTTATGATGTACCTGTATTGTGGACTATTCTAAGAAATTAAAAATAATAAAGTATGTGTTGAGTATCACAGGAATATCTCTAGACTGTAAAGAGAAAAAACCAAGTTCCTTAGCACTATGTATCAAGTGATTCCACACATTAACAAAATAATACCATATATTTTCAACAGGCACATGTATAATTGTGTAAACAAGATAACAAGAGGTGTGGTAATAGTGGTTCCCTCTCAAAAGGGAAGTGGGATTGGGAGGTGGTGGTCCAAGGAGACTAGGCCTCTTCTGTAATGTTTTTATATGTTGTAGTGCTCAAGTGTCACTGTAGCTGCCCACTATCTTTTGAATACCCACCCTGTATTCTTATAGTGAGTCTGTACTGTGAGTCTCACCTACCAATCTAGCTACTCACTTGCAAGTAAGAGTCTAGTGCAGATGTGAGCGACTGGCAGAATTTAGAAAATGCAGTTACACTCTAGCTGCTAGGGAGGCTGGGAGTGGATTTCTGGATGCTACCTGGGCAAGTGGGATGTTCCAAATGTGGGAATCTAGCAAAGTGAAGGTACTGTACTGTACTTCTCACATACCTTTCAATACCAATGCCATGACTATCTCTTTGAGAGGAAAAAAAGAAAAGGGCTGATAGTGAGCACTGAATCCATTCAGATGACTGCTGTATTCTACAACAATAATTTACTATCAGACCCCCCCACACACACCTTTTTTTTTTTTTGGCAATACTGGGGTTTGAACTCAGGGCCTTGCACTTGCTAGACAGGCACTCTACCACTTGAGCCACTCCACCAATCGTACTATCAGCCCTTGCTAATAGAATGAATTACTGACTCTTTTAATCTTCTCTTCAAATTGGATATTGCAGGATTTTGACGACTCGCCTTGCCTCAGCGTGCATTTGGAATGCAGAGGTGGGATTAGATATAATCCCACCAATAATACAGTTCCCATTGAGCTCCAACATTTCCAGAGAAAGTGTGGGAATGTGTGGGGGTGGGTTTTATTTGGCTTGTCTTTCCTAACTTATTTTTTACAAGGTTTAGAACAATAACAACAACAAAAATTAACTAATTTGGTAGTAAACTAGGCAACTAGGATTGTTAGATAAAGCAGGAGAAAATGCGCTCTGTGTTCCAGTTTGATGGATTCTGTTACTTGTTTTTTGGCAGTACTGGGAGTTGAACTCAGGACTTGCACTTGGTAGGCAGGCGCTCTACCACTTGAAACATATCCCCAGCCCTTTTGCTTTAGTTATTTTTGAGACAGGTCCTTGCTTTTTCTCAGGCCGTCCTGGACCATGATCTTCCTATTGATGCCATTGGCTGAGCTGGGGGTCTCATGAACTTTTGTGCAGGCTGTCCTAGAACCTCAATTTTCTTCATCTCTGCCTCCTGAGTAGCTAGGATTATAGTCATAAACCACTGTACCTAGCCTGATGAATTCTGCTCTAAATAAATTCATCATTAGTAAATATTTAATGTGACATTTAATTTAATGCTCCGATTTTTTTCTCTTTAGTTTTTTTTTTTCTTTTATTCATATGTGCATACAATGTTTGGGTCATTTCTCCCCCCTTCCCCCCGCCCCCTCCCTAACCTACCCCATCCCCTCCCTCTCTTCCCACCTCTCTTTAGTTTTAACTTGTGTTGAAACAGAATTACTTAAAGAGTGACAAAGATTTATAAATTATTATTGAAATGTTTTAATATTTAAAAGTAATGCCAGATAGACTCTGACTAAAATAAAAATTGGTAAATAAATCATAAATCAAAAGTTCCAAAAACCAAGAACATCTGTACAATTTAGGCTAACTTTTTGCTGAAACAAAAACATTTTTAATGTAATAGTCCCTTCCATTCTATGTCAGTCAGTCTGTCTGTCTGTCTCTCTCTCATATTCTCATTTAATTTTAGATAAGTGAGAGAATTAAGTTAATCAAAACTTCTGATCACAGGGCTGGGGGCGTGGCTCAGGTGGTTGAGCGTCTGCCTAGCAAGTGCAAAGCCCTAGTTCAAACTCCAGTAATGCCCAAAAATTTTTTTTTTCTGCTTACAATACTTTAAAATCTCAGAGGCCAGCAATTCCTCCCCCCCAAAAACTCCTAAAATCCCAAAACATGTAAGCAACAACAACAAAAAAACCCCAGTATTTACAGACTTCACAATTAGAAATCCTATTAGTTTTTCATGTGTCTTTTCATAAATAGTAACAGAAATAAATAAGTTTGGAAGCAGATTTAACAAAGGACTCATGGCAGCAATAAAGGAAAGGGATAGTAAAACATTTAGGTAAATGTGAACAAGCAGAAAGCTTAGCTACCTTGACCACATGTCTCCACCAAATCCATAATGCTGATGTCCTTTGCCCAGGACAGGAGGAGGTTCACATTTGGGCCTGTGTTCCTCGGGGAGTGCAACTGGGATGATCCCACCGTATTCCCTCTCGGCGCCCCATGGAAGCCGGCATTCTGGGAATAACTCCCTTAATTCCTGAAACCTGTGTAGAAGAGAGACATGAAACTGTTCAGCAGAACTAAAATTCCTATTGTTTCATAGGTATTTTTAGATCACTTGTTCAAAACACAGAATTCTCTGTCAGGGAGATTATGATAGATTCTGGTTACTTAGGCACCATAGGACTGATGAAGGTATGAGGTGAAATTTCTGAATGCCTACAGGTTATCTTTTTTTTTTTTTCAACAGTTATAGTGTATTTACTTTTAAGAGTAGCTCAAGATATAATAAATATGCCCAATTTGAAGTATGTAATTCAATGGCTTTTACTCACAAATATGCACAACTATCACCACAATCAGTTTTACATCATCTCAAAAACAAACCCTGTGTCCTTTAGCTATCACTCCTCATCTCCACTAACCTACCTTCTCTGGAGATTTGTCTGTTCTGGACATTTCACATATATTGAATCAAATAGTACATGGTCTTTTGTAATAGGCTTCGTTCACTGAACATAATGGCCTCAAGATCCGTCCATGAGCATTTATCAGTACTCCATTCCTTTTAATGGTTACATAGTTTTCTACCAGTGCACACATCACATTTTGTTTAGTCATTCATCAGTTGATGGTTATATGGATGAACTGTAATGCCTAGGTCATATGGTAATTCTTTGTTTAATTTGCTGAAGAATTGCCAAACTGTTTTCTACAGCAGCTGCTCCATTTTACATTCCCAACAGCATTGTATGAGGGTTATAATTTCTCCATATTCTCACCAACACTTATTTTCTGTTTAAAAAGAAAAAAAAGAGCTGGGCATGGTGGCACACATCTATAATCCCAGCTCCTTGGGAGGTTGAGGCAGGGGGATTGAGAGTTCATGGCCAGCCCAGGCAAAATTGGCAAGACCCTATCTCAAAAACAAAATAAAAACAAAAGGGCTAGGGGAGTGGCTCAAATGGTAGAAGGCCTCTTAGCAAGTAGCATGTGCTGGGTGCGACCCTCAGTCCAAAAATTAAAATAACCATTCTAATGGATGTGGAGCGATGTCTCAATGTGGCTTTGACTTGCATTTTCCTAATGACTAATGATATTGGGTGCTTTTTTATATTACTATTGGCCATTTGTAAATCTTCTTTGGAGATATTTGGGTCCTGTGCATTTTTAAACTGGGTCATTTTATTTTTTAGTTTTATATTTTAGATATATAAAGAGTTCTTTATATACCCTAGATACAAGTCTCTTATTAGATATGATATGTAAATATTTTCATCTATTCTGAACATTTTCCTTTCACTTATTTGATAGTGTCCTTGAAACACAAAACTTTTTAGTATTGATGAAGTTCAGTTTTTTGTTGTTGTTTGTATGTCACAACTATGAATACATTACCCACCCCAAATCATGAAGTTTTACCCTATGTTTTCTTCTAAGAGTTTTATAGTTTTAGCTTTTACATTTGGGTCTTTGATTCATGATGAGTTAATTTTCATATAGGACGTGAGAGAAGGGTCCAACTTATTCTTTTGTATGTAGCTATTGCCGTCCCAGAAACATTCATTGAAATGACTTCTTCCTCATCTAATGGTCTTGGTTACAGATCATCTTTTGATTTAAAAAAAATAGACAGTATTATAATGGAATGGTTCTATGGTATAAAGGAGCTATTTGCTCCCCAACAGTTCAGTGAAGTACACCAGGCTCACAAATTTTCTGTGTGGACAAAGTTTTTAGAGGATACTGAGGAATCACTTTGGGAAAACTAAAGAATTGAGTTTTATATCTGAATAGAAGTAGGTGGAATCAAAAACCCAAACACAAAGGGACCATGAGACTTTAAAGTGCTGTACCTAGCCTCATCCTGGGAATTTGGATGAATTTTGGGAGATTTCACAAGGCTTGGAGTTGTAAAGACTTGAGCAGAACTTACTGAGATCTTAAGGGCTATGAAAATAGGGTTATATTTTGGACTATATTAGTAGAGCTTATGTGGAATTCAGGAATTTGGGGCACAGCAGAGAAGAGCCATGGTGAGTGGTGAAGCATGAGAGGAAAACAAAGACAATATCCTATGGGGCCTCATAAGCTCTTGGACTATGCCACGTGGGCAATAGAGAGCCAATCAGAAATGCTGAAGAGCAGTTTAGAGAGAGACATGAACTGTGGGGCTTCTTTTTTCTTTGTGCCAGTACAGTACATGGCTTAATGTAATCCCCTACAACTGCTGAATAGAATGGAGAAGTCACACTCAAGACTGTGTTATAAATAGCATGTATCACCACATGAAGTCACTAGATCAAGGGCTGGCAAACTGTGATCTGGGAGCCAAATCCAACCAACCACCTGTTTTGGTAACTAGTATTTGATTCAAATGCAGCCATGACCATTCATTTATGTAATGTGTATAGTCTTTGGCTGCTTTCACCTTCTAACAGCAGAGTTGAGTAACTGTGACAGACATAGTAAACGTAAAATGTTTGTCTGGCTGTTTATAGAGGAAGTTTATTAACCCCTGAACCAGCTAGTCAAAGAGACTATTGGCAACTACTGATACGGGTGTTGTAAAATGGCATTCTGTTTTCAGAGCTACCACCAGCTCTGACTTTGATCAACAGACAGTGTGTAACGACATGACAAGTGAAAAATATTTAAACGTATGATTAATGACAAACTAAGTTTAATATTTAAGTTTGTAAAGTTATATTTAAATCATAAATGAGTCAATTTCTCAACATTTGACCCCTGAATATTACATCGTCTCAGAAAATGAGCCAGTAGAAAATGTTAATCAATCATTTAAGCTGATATTCACTTAAAGCTGGTAAGTTGCAAAAAGCTATTTAAAATAAAAGGCAGAATGGATCAAGGATCTTAGTATCAGATCCCAAACTCTAAGTTGGTACAGGAAAGAGTAGGAAATACCCTGGAATTAATAGGTATAGGCAAGAACTTTCTCAATGGAACCCCAGCAGCACAGCAACTAAGAGACAGCATAGATAAATGGGACTTCATAAAACTGAAAAGCTTCTGCTCAACAAGAGAAATGGTCTCTAACCTGAAGAGAACACCCACAGAGTGGGAGAAAATATTTGCCAGCTACACATCAGATAAAGGACTGATAACCAGAATATATAGGGAACTTAAAAAACTAAATTCTCCCAAAACTAATGAACCAATAAAGAAATGGGCAAGTGAACTAAACAGAACTTTCTCAAAAGAAGAAATTCAAATGGCCAAAAACACATGAAAAAATGCTCACCATCTCTAGCAATAAAGGAAATGCAAATTAAAACCACACTAAGATTCCACCTCACCCCTGTTAGAATAGCCATCATTAGCAACACCACCAACAACAGGTGTTGGCGAGGATGGGGAAAAAGGAACCCTCTTACACTGTTGGTGGGAATGTAAACTAGTACAACCACTCTGGAAAAAAATTTGGAGGCTACTTAAAAAGCTAAACATTGATCTACCATATGATCCAGCAATACCACTCTTGGGGATATACCCAAAAGACTGTGACACAGGTTACTCCAGAGGCACCTGCACACCATGTTTATTGCGCACTATTCACAATAGCCAAGTTATGGAAACAGCCAAGATGCCCCACACTGACGAATGGATTAAGAAAATGTGTATCTATACACAATGGAATTTTATGCAGCCATGAAGAAGAACAAATGTTATCATTCGCTGGTAAATGGATGGAATTGGAGAACATCATTCTGAGTGAGGTTAGCCTGGCCCAAAAGACCAAAAATCGTATGTTCTCCCTCATATGTGGACATTAGATCAAGGGCAAACACAACAAGGGATTGGACTTGAGCACATGATAAAAGCGAGAGCACACAAGGGAGGGGTGAGGATAGGTAAGACACCTAAAAAACTAGCTAGCATTTGTTGCCCTTAACGCAGAGAAACTAAAGCAGATACCTTAAAGCAACTGAGGCCAATAGGAAAAGGGGACCAGGAACTAGAGAAAAGGTTAGATCAAAAAATTAACCTAGAAGGTAACACCCACGCACAGGAAATCAATGTGAGTCAATGCCCTGTATAGCTATCCTTATCTCAACCAGCAAAAACCCTTGTTCCTTCCTATTATTGCTTATACTCTCTCTACAACAAAATTAGAGATAAGGGCAAAATAGTTTCTGCCGGCCAGCGAAGGGGTGGGGGGAGAGGAAGGGGGTAGGGGGAGGTAAGAGAGGGGGCGGAGGGAAGGGGGGAGAAATGACCCAAACATTGTATGCACATATGAATAAAATAAAAAAAAAGCACAAATAGGTTGTATTTCTCTTTCATTTTAGGGTCTCATGTTCCTTCCACCTCCATCCCTTACCTTTCATGTTTATAGCATTATATAGAAAACCAATTAAAATAAAAAATGAGGTTTTAGGATGAAATAATTTTAAAGCTTAAATAAAACACATCTCCATAATAGAGGGTAATAATCAAATTACTGATACTGCAATCTATAGCCACAGAAAATTATTTTGGAGAAAGATGTGTTCCTTTACAGATGACTTCAAAATCTGATTTTGAAGCCCCTATATAGAATTTTGAGACAAGTCAAATCCCCAATCCAAGGGACTGAATTTAGCCAGTAATTACTGGAAGGCATGTTTAAGGGAAAGCTCAGGAAAAGGCTAGCACTCACTTTTTAGTGGACAGAGCACTAGCAGTAACAATAAATCAATGAATTTGTAAGTTGGAAGGGAAAGAAGTGAATCCAGAGCAAAATGGGAACCTATGATAAAATCCTAAGCAATTCTAAAGGTACTTCTTTAACTGTATGCCTAATGAGCTAGAGATCTTGTTAAATGTAAAAGGCCAGCTGAGTGGAAAAAGGGGATAGGAATCTGTGGTGATTTGGGTAGCTATCCCAGCCACTGTTAAATACAAAGCAATATACTAGAGTTAATTTGAAAATTGAAAAACCATAAAACAAGAACACAATTAAATAGGCTATTTTTTTTCACTAAGCATTTTTGGATTTTCCCGCAATATGATTCAAGTAAATAAAATACAGAAAAAGTTGACATTAAGATCTAGCAAATTATGTGTCTGTACCTGATACTTCATATGTAAAATAGGGGTAATAGTTCTTATCTTAGATGGTTGTCATGAAGATTAAAAGAATTACTATATAGCATTTGGCACAGTAATCACTGTATATATTAGACACAATTTTAATCATAATGAGTAATTAATGTTACAGGATTTTTTTTTCTTTTTTTGGCGGGACTGAGGTTTGAACTCATGGCTTCACACTTGCTAAGCAAGCACTCTATCCTTCAGCCATGACTCCAGCCCTTTTTGCTCTGGTTATTTTAATTTATTTTTTGTTGTACTGGGGTTTGAACTTGCTTTGGTTATTTTGGAGATGGGGCTTGCTATTTTTCTCAGCCTTCCAACTAGCTAGGATAATAGGTGTGAACCACCTGTGTCTATCTGTTACACAGGAAATTGAGTAAAGCAAAAAATTAGATAGCAACTATGAGTAACAGATTTTGGGAGTATTTCTAAGCAGATTGTGTTAGGAGATGATAGGAAACCACCACAATACTCTTTGTAAAATAAAAAGTCTCTGACTAAAATAGATTAGTTTCCAAATGCTCTCCAGTTTTAGAATGTAGTGGAAGAATTTGATGTCTGCCTTTTTACAGTATACAACTTCTTACAGAGTTCCTAACATGTAGACAGTTTTGCTTTCCCTATGTGATGAACAGAAGATAGAAGATCCCCAGGAGGAGAAATACAATAATAAATTTAAAAAATACACTAATAAGAGTAAAACCTTTTTTTAAATGGACTTTTCCTAGTTTTTGTTTTACCTGTTCTCTGAGGCAGTTGGACGAGTAGCTGTTTCTAGTGGAGTGTGCAGTTCATTAGAGTAAAAGGTGTCTGACAGTATGTCAGATCCTTCAAGCTCCCTGCAACAGTAGGGCCTGCCATGAATGACCTCCATGCTTCTTGTCTAAACGGCACAACCTGGAAAAGAAAAAGAAGGCAGATTTGGTTTGGGAAACAGTCCTAGTCAATAGCATATTGACCCGGAGTCAGGCCAGGCAGGAAACATCTTTTGTACTGCTACAACCCATCGCTGCACTGAAACCACAGGCCTTGGGACCCTCTGCTGCCAAGTCAGTAATAAATACCAACTCAGCTGAGGTCTGTGGACATGAATTTCACTAAAGAACTCCACAAAGTGGAAGACGTTTCTAAGTCTGAACATTTAACTACTTGGCTGTTCTGTGGGTCCATGTAAGTCCGCTACTTCGCAGACGTTGTCTGAAACCCAATTCTTGCTTAAAATTTACCTACTAGAGTATAACTACTCCAGGAACAGCCGAATTTTATCCCCTTCTCACGCCCCCCCACGCCTCCCCGTGTCTTTCTAAAAATCAGGAGCCTCATCACAGAATCAAGGGCTGCCCTAAAAGGCTTCGCGGATTCTGGACACGAATCTCCGCAGACAGGTGGAGACTCAGGGGTGCAGCATCAGCGGGACCCCAAAGGGGATTCTGGCTTCCCGACTGCGGCTGAATGGCGCTCTTCCCTCGGACGTGGACGTCAGGGAGGCCGAGGGCTGGGTGGCCTGCAGGGCATCAGCGCCCCGCCGAGCAGGGCCGGGGTTCCCACGCACCTGGGACCTCAGCCCGGGAGCGCCACCCCGCCGCGCCTCCCCTTCCTCTCCCTAGAGCCGGCGGGCCTCCGCGGGGCGTGGAATTTCGCCGTGGCCCGCACCTGCGGCCCCCCGGAGCTTCCTAGCAGGTGCGGGAGAGGGAGAGAAAGGGACGGCGGGCAGGCCGCGCGGGTGGGGTTGAGGGTGCCTGTGACGGTGACGGTGACCGTGGCCCTAGGTAATGCATCCTTAACGGGCACGGCGGGGCGGCCGCGTGGCGGGCCAGCATCGGCGGGTCGCACTTAGGAGTCGCCCAGAAAGCCAGCTCAGGAGCTCCGGGGTGAAACCCGGGAACTGGCGAGAAGTGGAAGAGGGACCGGAAGTGAGCTGAAAGGAGGTGAAATGAGCTTTTCCGCCCCAGCCCCTCCCGGCTCCAGGCCCCGGCCCCGCCTTTTGCCTTGTCCTGCTCCCCCCGCCCCCCGCCGACCCCCCGGCGCTGCTCCACGGCGCCCTCTGGTGGCGACCGGGGCGAAATCGTTTTCTCCTTGGAGAACTGCCTGGTCTAAGGTTATCTCCAGGCTGGGGCGTTTTTTCCCAGATCTGGACCCTGGAAGAGCGCAGCTCCGGGGAAGGAGGCAGGGGGGCCCTGGTGAGCTCCAGGGTGGGGCCAGCGGGATTCCGCAAGCGCAAACCCTGTGATAGCCCCCATCAGAGCCTCTGTTCTTCCTTCCTTGATGACTAGGAAGCGGCAAACCGACAGGTTGGCCAGAGGATGAAGTCCTTTATGGGTCCTGTCCCCAAAGGCCTAGCCCCACCTCGATTACCCAAGTCCCCTCTCCAGTTCCCAAAGAAACCAATGCAAACGACGTTTCAGCACCTCCAGGGTGCAGAGTTTGTGATGGCTGAGAACGGCCCCACCCAGAAGAAACAGGATGTGGGAAGGCTACTTCTTGATAGTGCGAGGCCAGAACCGAGTGGCCACCTCGGAGAAGGGAGGGGTGGCTTTGCCATTCTCTGCCTATTTTACAATTAATCACCTGCTGAATATCCACTCTGTGCTCTGCTTATGAGTGTTAGCTGACCTGGGGGAACAAAGGCAAAGTGACAATTGTGCACTATGTGTCCTGTCCACCCGCATCTGCGTGTGATTACCGCCTGCAGAAGTAGATCCTGCTGGAGGTAGTGGTGAATAAATTGAAACTGGCTTTTGCTGTTGACACATTTACCTATTTTTTTTTTTTTCCACTTTCTGATTGATGCCCATCCTAACCTTTTGTTGCTGCGCTGGTGTTCAGGTTCTCCCATTAAATTCCTAGCTCATTTCATGCCCCCAGCCTTTCAGTACTCTGCAGAGGCCATCTTTACTCTGTGCTAAACCTGAGTCCTATCTCCTCTTTGCTTGAGTCTTCCTGGGAGGAACTCGATGGAGCTGCGTCGTTAGCCGTCTCCGTGTGTGAATGGTGGTGATAGCAGGGATGTGGTGGCCACCCTAGGTTGAATGACTAGGAGATGTGGGGTTAACCTTCACGTTGTTTTAAAAATATTTTCGTTCAAATGGATGTCAAAGGCTGTAAAATGTGATTATTTTTTACCATTGGAATTATCAAAATAAAATTTACAGGCAAGCAACACTGTCAGATTTTTGTTAAGCAGTTGATCTCTTTGGAAGTGCTTCTCTTGAAAGGTTCTCAGAGATGTCAGGATTGGGTCTTCCCCTGTCACCTTCCTGGTAGCTCCCCTTTTCCTATCATGTGACTGTGTTTGACCAACACACTTTATTCCTAGCTGTCCCGTCCTGCAGGACACATCAGCGTGGGTAGCGAACCTAGAAGGGGAAGAATGAAGGGACAAGAGACAAGAAGGAGACAGCAAGACAGGAGTTCTGATCAAGCTGCAAAACTTTATTGTTCACACAGGGGTATTTATGTGCTGAGGGAGTGAGGGGTACGACGAGGTGCAGGCTGGTTGGCTGGTTCTGCTATAGGACTTCTGATAGGGTGCCCGTTCGCGCCGGCGACAAGGTAAACTCCCGGAAGAGAAGCAGGGACGGCGCCATCTTGTGCTGGAGGTGGAGAAGTTGGGACAAACAACTGCAAAATGTTCCAGGGCAAGGTCAAGACAGAATGGCTCACAAAGGGAGCCTTGTCTCCGACACCTAGCACTTGTGACAAAAGTGGCATCAGCAGCCTCAGCTCACCTTCTGCGTTTCTCTCTTTTTTCACTTATTTCTCTAGCAATTCTTCAAACATGGAAGATGAAATTTGGGAATAAAAGTATGTATTTCTTCATTGAATAATATGTCTGGGTTGTCAAAAATTCCTAATCATGATTAACCTTTCATCTTCACTGAAAGAAGATGCAGGAAGTATATGATGATGTAAAGCTTGGATTGTAGTCTACAACCTTGCTTTTAAATCTGGTATAGACCTTTAACAAAGTGGTCTTTGAAAATGAAATAAAATCTTGAGGGACTCAATACTTCTTGGCAAATTAGAATACTTTTTTAAATTAAAAAAAAATTTGGCCATGATTTCTTGCCTAGAAAATTTATTGGGAAGTCTCTTTCAGTGATTTAAAAATATACATTTGAACAAATTGTGAAACTTAAAGTCTCATTGATGCCAGTGTTTCTACTTACTAGGTTGGCAATTAAATATATGTGTATATTCTTGCTTTTACAATTAAATTACATATAAGTTAAATGACATTTTAATATTGAAATTTTTTTGTTTTGCCTTAAGTAGCTGTCTTAGAACATTTTCCTTCTTCTCCCAGTACAGGAGTTTGAGCTCAGGACCTCCTGCTTGCTAGGAAGATGTTCTACAACTTGAGCCATGTCCCAGTCCTTTTTTGATTGTTATTTTTTTGGATAAGATCTCTCCTTTTTTGCTTTGGGCCAGTCTTAGAACATGATGCTCTTACCAATGCCTCCCACACAGCTGAGACCACAGATGTGTTCTACCACTCCTGGATTGTTGGTTGAGATGGGGGTCTTGCTGACCTTGAACTACGATCCGCCTAATCTCTGCCTTCCCAGTAGCTAGGTATTATAGGCATGTGCCACCATGCCCAGCCTTTTATTTCTTTAGAAATGGCCATACTGTTTTCCATAATGGCTGTACCAATATGTATTCCCACCAATAGTGTATCAGGGGACAGGGTTTCCTTTTTTCCACACCATTGCCAGAATTTGTTTTCTTTCTGATAAAGCCATCCTAATGGGTGTGAGGTGGTATCTCATAGTTGTTTTGATTTGCATTTTCCTGATAATTAATGATGTTGAGTACCTTTTAATATTCTTGTTGGCTATTTTTATGTCTTCTTTGAAGCAGTATTTATTGAGATATTTTGCCCACTTTTCAACTGAGTTATTTATTTTTTCACTATTGAATTATATGAGCTCTTTGTAAGTTTTGGGTATTAACCAGTTATCAGATATATAGTTTGCACATATTTTTTTTCAATCTGTAAATTGCTAAGGCTAGGATGATTAGTTACCTTTGAACACCTTTCTATGGATGATGTAAATCTAAAAGCCATGCTTTTAGAGGTGCACTGCTCTTAGTAGTCCATAAGAAGGTATGTCTCTATCCTATGTTGACCTCACCACACTGTTCCACTGCACTGTGTGACAGTGTTAGAGTGAGCAGTGTTCACAGACCTGAGAAGTGGAGAGAGCAGGTGTGTTTAGGTAAAGAAACAGCAGTTCAGAGATAATTTAGTGTCGGGGTAAAGTCATGCAAGGTAAAAACCATAGGAGGCTTGATTGGCAAGTGAGAGCCTCATGTATCAGAGAAGTCACTGAGTTCAGTGATGTATAACCCCCGGCTCCTGGGAGCTCCATTCCTCCCTCAGCCTGCCACCATTGCCCTCTCACTGTCCTGTGATGTAGGACATGGCCAAGATTGACAGGGAGAGGAGGTTGAAGGGGCAGTAGTTAAAATGTCACCCACCCAGACTGAAATCCAAATGGCTTAATTTACCATGATGTGTTTTAATTAATGAGAGTGAAAAAGTGAAGAGGTTGTGGCTTCTAATCAAAGTAAGTAATGCTTTAGTTACTGAAATGCGAGTGGAATATTGCGAGGGAAGCAAAACTCAATTAGGTCACAAAGACAAATTAGAAAACTGAAAACATGGTCACCACAATTAGATCTTTTGTGAGCTTGGGGTAAAAAAGGACATGTAGAAATGAAAGAGTTTTGGATGAATAGTTTAGCATTTAATAGTTTTGTGACTTCAGTAACTATTTCAATTTTATAATAAATACCACTTTTGCACCACACTGCGCATATTTTAATCTAAAAGTAATTCTGCTTATCTTCTGTTTTAAGTATTCTGCCTTTCCTTGAGAATGTATTGCCTTTCTGGTTCTAATAAGTGGGCCTTATGCAATTCACAACTAGAATCAAGATGCAAAAAAGACCTTTGCTTTTGCTTTCTGTAAGGTGTTGAATTGAGGTGATTGCATGTTAATTTAAAATGTAAAATATTAAGGTTGTTACCTCAGCCTTATGTGTGTCATATATTGTGTGGAATAAAACAAGATCTTAAAGACTTTTTGTTATAGTGGTGGTTGGTGAATGTTATTGCCATTTTGGTCTAACAATTTAAAATTTGTTTTGTACAAATGTTGACCATTTTCTGCCCTCTAGTGGTTAAGAGTCATTTTGCAACATTGGTTACCATTTCAGTGCTTTAAATTACAAGGGAAAAGTTACATGGTATTTTAAAAGCAGTGTGAAAATTATGTCAGTGCTTTGCTGTAGCTAATTACTTTTGTTGCATATTTTAAGACAGAGAAACAATAGTCTTATGTTTTATTAACCACAATATACTAATACCTAGAAATCTGGCAAAAAGTAAAATAAAATTTGTGACAATTTTTCTTTAGGATTAAAATAGTATCTCTCTACTTCTACAAAGAGTGTTAATTTGACATTAATTTAGTTATAATCTAATTCCACTCTTGATTCTAATAGTGATTTTCCTGTTTGCCGCCTTTCATTCTTTATTTCCTTTAGTTCCTATATTTAGGGTATGGGTACAGGTTACTTTCCTAAGTTACACTTAGGATTATGTTTATTACATTAGTTTTATGCTATGAGAAAAAAATATCATGATACATCC